GTTTTCCATCTCCTTATTTCCTCCATTCCTTTCTATCTATGAACTCTACTGAGGAACGTGTAAGAGGAACATATCCCTGGCTCAGTATGTAAAGTGGACAATACCTCCTACATTGATGTATCAGTTCTAAATGTTCCAATCTAAATCTCCAGGGAAATTTCCATAGGCCTTGGAAAAGCTCATCTAAAGGAGATTGTGTGCAAGAATTTCCAAGGAATGTTTAGAAAGCAAAAACAGTGAGAAAACTTGGGATAGATATGAAGACACGTGGTCTTGGTTAGCTTCTCTAGAAGCAGTGCTGCAGATAGAGGAGTTCTTGTTCAGGGAGTTTTCTGGGTGGGGAGAAGAGGAGAGGGTTTCCTTGAGAGAAGCAGGACAGGGAAGGGAAACCTGTTCATCAATCATGTCTCAGCTACAGGCTGGATTCACTCTGATCCTGTGGCTGAAGCTCTGGAGGACAAATTACACTACAAAATGAGTCCTGTTTTGTCGCAAGGGGACTGTCCTGTCCTTTTATATCCTTATGCCAGTGAGTCACAGCTGAGGTGTGCCCTGGCTGGGGGTGGTGTGCTGCGTGGCTCCCAGTTGAATTGTCAGCCAGAACGGCAGCCTCATGACAGGAACACTGGCTGGCAAAGGGAATCTGCTTGGGACCCAGCAGCAACCATTACATTAAAGGCTTGAAGAAGAAAAATGTCACATGCCAATATCAGTCACTATCAGTCAATATCAGATGTGCAGAGGTTGTGCCCAAACTTGGGATAGGTGGGGAACCCCTGAGTACTCTGGTTCAGGGCTTAATTATTTTCATGTCCTCACTTGGAAGCACTGGAACCAATTTTATGGTTTCCAAGTGTCAATGTATTTTCTACCATTGGAACATTTTTGATACTGGGAGGAGAGAGCTGATGAAATAGTAGGTTAGGGAGGGGTCCAGCCATTGGAGGCTGTGATGACATTGAAGATTAGGTTTAGGAAGAACAAGGATGAGAATCTGTAACCAGAGGGGAGAATTTTGGAGGCCAGTAATTCCCAGTAGGAGCAGTTCCTGGTGGTGATGACACCCAAAGTGTGACCATGTATGTGGATCACAGAGGAGAGGGAAGGGGAGGGTCAGGAAAGTGGGAAATGCCCCCAGCATGGACTGTGAAGATATACAGAGGGGTGGTGGGGTTAGAGAAGACAGGAAGAACTTGTATGTGCAGAGTGGTGGATGGGGGGAGATATGGTTGGGGAAAGAAGGGGTAAGTCTCTAAGGGGAACACTGAAGGTGATCAAAGGAAGAAATGCTTCATGCGGAGCAAGAGCATGGCACGAAGCATGGGAACCTTGCTTCCTGAACCCAAGATAAGAGTAGTGGTCTCAGCGAAGAATGTGGAATGTGTGGTCCGCAGGGGAAAGCTAGGCTTCCCTGTGAAAGTGCCTGGTAGAGAAAATGCATTAGGACAAAGCAGTAGTCTTGTGGAGGTAGCTGGGCCATCAAACAGGGGGTCTAGGGTCACAGAAAAAGGAATTAGAAGGCAAATACTGATAGGCATGTTCAAACATAAAGCATTATTGCCAACTCAAAGATTTCATATCATTTTAAAAAAACCAGCATCTTCATTTCAATGGCATCCAGTCTTAACTCCATAACCACATGCTGATTCTTTCCAAATCTTACTCAATTGGTGTATCTCTCAGTGACAATGAGAAGGTAAAATTAATTAAATACTGTTTTGAGTTTGCTTAAAGAGCTGTAATGAGAATATTAAAAAACAGAAGGTGAATTGTGAGTGTTGAGATTGGCACATATATTACCCGTGCCCTTAGAAGGTGTATCACTGAGCTACTTCCTTTGGCAGACTTGCAGGTGAGAGGGAAGAGTTAAGATGTCCTTCTACGATTTGTTTCTTGGCAACAATGACAAGTCTTCATACCCTTTACCCAAGACTAAAGCTGAGAATAGTCCAAGAACTGTTTATTTTTTTAATTTTTTATGTCAATTCAATTTAATTAACATACAGTGTATTAACATACAGTTTCAGAGGTAGAATTCAGTGACTCATCAGTTACACACAAAACCTAGTGTGCATTACATCAGGTGCCCTCCTTAATGCCCATCACCCTCCTTAATGCCCATCACATTCCCCCACCAATCTCCCATCTAGGACTTCTTGGTTTGTTCTCTATAGTGAAGAGTCTCTATGGTTTGCCTCCCTCTCTGTTTTCCTCTTGTTTTATTTTTCTTTCCCTTCCCCTATGTTTAGCTGTTTTGTTTCTTAAATTCGCCACATGAGTGAAATCATATGGTATTTGTCTCTCTCTGATTGACTTATTTCAATTAGCATAATACTCTCTAGTTCTATCCACATCATTGCAAATGGCAAGATTTCATTCTTTTTGATGGCTGAGTAATATTCTCTCCCCCCCCCTCTACGCACACACACACACACACACACACACACACACACACACATATCACCTCTTCTTTATCTATTCATCTGTAGATGTATATCTGGGCTCTTTTCCATATTTTGGCAGTTGTGGACATTGCTGCTATAAACATTGGGTTGCTTGTGTCCCTTTGAATCACTATGTTTGTATCTTTTGGATAAATACCTAGTAGAAACATTGTTTCTTAAATGGACTAGTAGAGACAATGGGGATACCTCTGGATTAGCAGAAAATAACTGGAATTTGGAGATGTAATTTATGGATTTTTTTAAATAGTGTTTTCCTGAAATCAGGGAGCTTGTTGGATGTTTATGAATTATTGGTCCTTAGCCCAGTGTTTGGTACATAGTAGATGCTCAGCAAATGTTTACTGAGTCAACTAAAATGAGGGATTTCATAATTCATGGAAAGAATGCTTGGGAACAAGAGTGGTGGGTGGTGTGTATATGTGTGTGGTCACTGCCTGCCCCAAATTTCTCACTAATTTTTCTGGTTCTTTTCTAGCAAGATAGCTTTCTTTCATTTTCTTCTTTTCATTTGATATCTTAATAATACAACTGCTAAGTTAACTTTATTGCAGAGACTGGGCTTGTCAGGACCCAGCCTTGTACACCCACGGTGAGTAAAGTATGCATTAAATCAGATCTTCGTTAAGCTATAAACCAGTGGTTTCCAACCTTGGCTGCACATCGTAATCACCTGGGGTGATAAAAATTCCAATGTCTTATTCTCACCCTAGAAAATGCTCACTTAAGTTGTCTGGGCATTGTTTTTGTTTGTTTGTTTCCCAGGAGATTTTAATGTGTATCTAAAATGGAGAACCAGTGCTCTGAACAATTTTTTCCAGAGGATCCCTAAGATCACTGGGGAGGAAGGCCCTTTCATGGTCTTTCCACCTGGGCCCAAAATTCACTTGACTTGGCCATTTTGTCCTGAGTTGAGCTCCTGCTTTTAGTCTTATTTTGCTGTCTGGTTGATTTTTATCTCTTTATGTTTGGAATTCCAAAATCCTTTATAAGGGAATTCAAGAATTTACACTCTATTCCTCTACGTCATAAGGTGCACCCTTTTTGAGTTCCCAGAACAATTGCTGACAAGTGCATAACTTTATGGCTACGAGTGGAAGAAATAGGAAATCCAATCCTCAGTTTTGTCAAAAACCTTGTATCCTAATTTTTATTAGGGAAATCGTCATTGAGAAATCAAAGGTTGTTTCACTGGAAGGGCAACGATAATGACTAGGGAGAGGCAGAGAGAGCACTATAAATTTAAGATCTCAACAACTCATGTTACATATGTTTCCTGGTTCCTTGTCAGCCACCTCTGTCTCTTCAAAAATCAGGTAAGTTCTTTCTTTGGCTTTAATTGAAGACTTCTGTGTTTTAAGAACACTTGAGGTTTGTTGATTGGAGAGAAGCAGTTTTGTTGTGCATAGTTTTCCTTGGGCTGGTTTTATTTAAAGCAGAGCCTACACAGCCATGACAGTGCATCTTCATCTTGTTTGACAGTAAATTAATTCATTTTATTTCTCAGTTAACTTGCAAGGAATCCCCACAAGGCAACTTGGGGGTTTTAACAACAGATATAGGATGCCTTAGCAGGGATGGGCCCTTGATGACCAAAACCCTTCAAAGTATTTAAGCTTGCAAAAAATTTTATTCTGCATTAATCTCATTCTTGTTTTAGGATTTTTCTGAAAGCCTTTGTAAACTACTTATAACATAGCTGGTGGGGAAGAAATTATAAAGTGTGTTTTATTTGTTTATTTATTTTTAAAAAGATTTTATTTATTTGACACAGAGAGAGATCACAAGTAGGCAAAGAGGCAGGAAGAGAGATTGGGGGAAGCAGGCTCCCTGCCAAGCAGAGAACCCGATGCGGGGCTCGATCCCAGGACCCTGAGACCATGACCGGAGCCAAAGGCAGAGGCTTAACCCACTGAACCACCCAGGCGCCCCAAAGTGTGTTTTATTTATTTTGGTAAATATTAATTGCTCTTCAAAATTATTTCTTTTTGTGTGAGATAATGAAAGTAATATGAACTCATGGTACAAGCCTGAAACAATACAGAAAAGTATAGAAAAGAAAACACTCTCGCTCCTACTTAATAATCCATGGCAAAGAGTTATATCTTTGTCCCTCAGGGAAAATTCAGTCCAGAGTCAAGTTTGCATGCAGTTAGGGATTGGGGTTTCAGAGAATGGATGTAACATGCCATTCTCTGCACTAGATCTCAATCTTGAGAAATAGAAAAGATTGAGGAGCCAATATTGGCTTTATTATTTTAAGGCTGGATTGGAGAACACTGCTTGGACCTGAGGTCGGCAGGGATTCCTAGGCCTTCCCCTGGTCTGGCCATGGGCCAGCAGCTGGACAGCTAGACAGGAATAGGCAAGGGCTGGGCCTGCCCGGGGAAGATTAGCACAGGAGGAGGCAGTGGGCAGGCAGATACAGGCAGGCTCTGGGAGAGGACGAGAGAGAAGGAAACCATTTAGGCGTTAACCCTGCTGCCTGGGGAAATGAGAACAGAAACACTGTATGCCGCCAGATTGATTCATGTCTCCTGCTCAGAGAAGACCGAGAGAGTGGGGAGAAGCTGACTGCAGTGAGTTTTCCCTGGGAGGGTGAAAATCTCTATTTTCTGAATCACTGCAGGGAGGGGAAGAGAAGCAGGAAGGGCTCCTGTGATATAAAGCAATTCAAATAAGTGAGATGTTCTTGTTTGGTTTTTGACTGTTGTTGTTCCAGATCTTGCTGGAATCTTCATGGATTCGCCTGGTGCAGCATACACTCAGTTTGGGTTTAATCTCTTCCAAAAGCTGAATAAAATACAAGATGGCAACATCTTCTTTTCCCCTGTGGGCATTTCAGCTGCCATTGGCATGCTCATCCTGGAGGCCCGAGAAGCTGCCGCGGTCCAGTTACAGAAGGTAGGGAGGCTCTCACTGCTGTCCCACACGGGCTGGTCTCTGGGGGCAGCCAGCCAGCATTACTTTGAAATGGGATTGGGAAACCAAGAATGCATATGAAGACACAGAGCAATTTCAGATCTGTCAGGGAAGTCTTCCTCCTTCTCCAAACATCGCCATGCCATCTGCTCTCTGGTGCTTGAAATTCCTTTGAGTGGGGATTGATGTGGCCTTGTTCAAAGTCATTAACCTCATAATTAAATATAGAGTGTGAAGAACAGAACCTACTTGAAGAAGTTGCGTAGTCCCCACTGGGCCATAAATGACACATCAAATATCAATACATGAATGGCCAAACCACCGTAGGCGAGATCAATGGTTGAGACCTTTGCTTGATTTTGCAAAGGAGAGAAATATGACCTGTTTACCACTGAAGTTTCTTTAACATTTTACTAATTCTGTGTGAGGGTTTCTCTGTTCTGACCACAACCAGACTATTTTCTGTCCCTTCCAGATGCTTTTCTCTGAAAAAGACGCAGAGAGCTCAAGAGTCAAAACCGAAGAAAAAATGGTGAGGAGACAGGTGTTGCAACCTTCAGGATGGCTGCTTCGTTGATGTGGGCTCCCTGGGAAAATGTGTAGGAGAGCTAATAGTTTATACTTATTTTTAAGCAATTACAAACACTGCAGCCAAGTGGGGTTGCTAGTATTTTACAATAATACACCCTTAATATTAAGGGGAGACTTTTTAAAAAAGATTTACTTATTTAGAGATGGGGAGAGAGAGCACGAACTGGGGGAGAGGCAGAGGGAGAGGGAGAGGGAGAGAAAGAGCCCGTGATGTGAGGCATGATCTCAGGATTCTGAGATCATGACCCGAGCTGAAACCAAGGGTCAGATGCTCAACCGACTGAGCCACCCACATGCCTTGAGGAGACTTTAAAGCACCTTGACCACTCTGATGTTAAGTGTTCATAGACTGCAAAGTCCCTGTGGCAGTGTGAATGGGTTTAAGAATCAAACAGATTTGAGTTCAAATCCTGACCTAGTGACTTAATAGCCATGCTACCTTGGGCAAGTTATTTTCTTTGAGCCTCCATGATGTGTCCAGTGGAGTGTCTGGAACACACTGGTGACTCACCCAGTAATGATGGTGGTGGTAATAGGCAATGCTATTACTACATTCCATTTTTATTTTAAGTCCCCTTGTTGATATTTTATTTTAAAAATATATTAGCACAGGACCACTGACTTCTTAGGGTCTCTTCCAGCTCTAGGAATGTAGTATTCCTTACCTAAAGGATAATCTGCTCAAACGTGGGGAAGTTCATTGGTCAGGGCTGGAACCTGGAGATGGTTAGAGCTTTCAGGAGGGACACATCTGCCTGACAGTAGTCATAGCTCAATCCTAGATGCTCATAAAATCATAGCTCCAATCACCCAGCAATATGAGCTGTTCATTTCACAGTCCCACATGGCCAGGTTGTCTGGTTGACTCTGTGGCATATGTGGAGAGTCAGGCTTCCTCACAAAATTTGTGCAACAGAATTGGGTCACACAGCTGCTCCACTGTCCACTCAATCAAGAAACACAGTTGTTTTCAGATCCTTCTCCCTCTCAAGTCTAGTAGCTTGTACAGAATCTTTATGGGAATTAGAAAAACAAACACCCCATTGGATAGGTGCCCACTCCTGGCTTGGTGATGGGGCTGAGGGTTGAATTCCAGCTTTGTGCAGGTCACAAACTGTATGGCTCTGCATAGCACTCTGTCCATTCCTCAGGAATTTTCTGTGAGCCACAGAGGTACAAAAAATAATAAAATTACTGACTGAACGGATATTAGGACTGGAGCCTGTCTTGGAGGCCATCCACTCTAATCTCCTTTCTTAATAGACGAGAAAACAGATGAGTAGAATGAGCTGCCCAAAGATATGCCAGATGTACATTTGATTATATTACATGAATTCAGAGTATTCTGAACTTTGCTTTTAAAAACTGAATTTCAAGATCTTAGTAGGAGATGTTGACGATTGTAAGATTTGTTGAAGGAAAACTGCTTTACTACTCACACTTCTGACACCAAATGTGGGTATTTTTTTCTCCTCACATTAAACAATTGTGATATTAACTGCCTGCAGTCAGAGCAGACCCCAAACATTAAGGGCTCCATTCCACGAGACTTGCCCTACTTCAGATGCCAATTGCAAGGAAGTGAGTTCCCAGATTACCCACACTTCTCTCCAACTTGGCTATAAACCACAGAATCCCATTACCCCCTACTTAGGTTTGATAATTTGCTATAATGTCCCACAGAACTCAGGGAAACACTAGTTTACTGTAAAGGATACAACTGAACAGGCAGATGAAGAGTTATATAGGGTTAGGTCTCAAATTGTCCCAAGAGCAAGAGCTCTATCCCTGCAGACTTTGGAGTTATCACCCCCCCCAACACATGAATGTTAAACACTGTAGTTCAGGATTTTTTATGAAAGCTTTATCATATAGGCATGATCAATTATTAGCTCTGTCTCTAGCCCTTCTCCTTTTCCTGGAAGATGGGAGATGGGCCTGAAAATTCTTAGCTTGTAATTATGGTTTGGTCTTTTCTGGTGACCAGCTCCCCCCACACTCCCCCTTGAAGCTGTTCAGGATCCTACCAAGAGTTGTTTTATTAGAACAAAAGATGCTCCTATACCAGGAAATTCCAAGGGATTTAGGAGTTCTGTGTCAGGAACTGGGATCAAAGAGCAAATATTAAAAACAAAAGATGCTCCAGGTACCCCTATCACTCAGCAAATTACAAGGCTTAAAAATTCTGTTAGGAATTGGAGAAAGAGACCAAATATACATTCTTTAATGTAACAGATGTAAAATATTTTATTAATTTTTATATATTATTTTTGTTGAAATAATATATAATACTTATATATTAATATATAATTATGTATTATAGTTACATTGAAATGATGTTTAGATAGATTTTGTTGGAAAAATATAATATTAAATTTGATTCCCTCTGTTTCTTTTTACTTTTAAGAATGTAGTTACGGAAAATCTAAGATTATATATGTGGTTCACATTTGTGCCTTGCATTGTATTTCTATGGGACAGTAATCGTCTACAGTATATACCTGGAAGGTAGGGTTTATGTGTGTTTGACTTCATTAAATATTAACAAATTGTTTGCCAATGGGATTATACCAATATGTATTCTACTTAGCCATGTGCATTGGCCAATCTCATACAATTGTACAGAGAGAGTGGGACCTGACCCCACTGGCTTTGAAATCCCCAGTCATTGATATTCATGTACAGTTGACCCTTGAATAACATGGGGTTGAATGGCACAGGTCCACTTAGATGAGAATTTCCTTTGGATAAATGTAACACAGTACTATAAATGTATTTTCTCTTCCTTAGGATTTCCTTAATAACATTTTCTTTTCTTAAGCCTACTTTATTGTAAGAATACAGCACATTATACATATATATGTATACAGATACATATGTACATATACATATATATGTATGTATACATATATATGTATACAGATACATATGTACATATACATATATATGTATGTATACATAATGTATATTTTGTTTTGATTTTGAAGATTGGCAAGATTGACAAGACAGAAGAAATACATTATCAATTCCAAGAGTTTTTGGATGAGATATGCAAACCCACTAGTGATTATGAACTAAAAATAACCAACAAGCTATTTGGAGAAAAGACATACCTCTTCCTTCAAGTAAGTTTTGCTGTGTCCACCACATCTCTGAGTGGTATTCATGAATGGCCAATGGCCCTTTTAGGACTGTGGGTCCTGAAGACATACTGCCTAAGCTGATGGCTTGGTTTAGCCCATATCACTGAGTGTGTTCCCCTGCCTGTTCTCCAGACATCCACACTCTTTGAGAGTTTCTTTTTAATTCTGGCAGTCTGATTCTGAGTTTTGCCTTAACCCTATTGCACCTGCAAAAAACGTGTATGGAAGTATTCAAAGTGATTTGCCCAGGTCCCAAATTCCCTGCTAACAATATTAGTCATCTTAATACAGAAACACATTTATTTAGATATGTAGGAAATATATAGATTGAATTTTCAATCTTTGTATTCTTTCTCTGTTCCTCCTAAAGAAATACTTAGATTACGTGGAAAAATATTACCATGCCTCTCTGGAACCTGTTGATTTTGTAAATGCAGCAGATGAAACTCGAAAAAAGATTAACTCCTGGGTTGAAAGCCAAACAAATGGTAGAGTATGGATCGGTCATTCAACATAAAACACTTCTTGAGTACCTGCTCTGAGAGAAGACCTGAACTTGACACTGCGTGTGGGGCCAGGCTGTACAAGATTTGGGGAGGTGAAAACTTGAGATAAATTTTTCAGGGTTAGAAGGACAGCACTGGGCTCAAGGAATGGAAAAAAACCCTACAGATGGTGGAATGGTCTCAGCAAATGGGAGGGAGCTGAGGGGCACCAGAGAGGGACCAAAGAAAGCCAACTTCTTGGAAACACATAGTGGAGAATGATTTGCACAAGGTTGTGGATCATGGTATCTTTGGGGCTCCTGAAACTGGACTCCTGTCTCTGTTGGGTTCACATCTTTCCTTTATATCAGATCCTTCCTTTCTGATTCTGGGTCCATAAGTGGAAATGTCACAGGGTTTTTCCTTTCTCTTTGTCAAGTGAGAAACTTTCAGTCTCTTCCCATCAAGACTTGCCTTTTACTACCTGTAGCTGGGGCTGCCCAGGCTTCATCTCCACTTGAGTGTTATGCAGTGGTGATAACTTTCAGCCTCATCCACAACAGAGAGCTTGACAGAGCCTTCACTTCTTCCTCCCTCTTTATCCCCTAGCATGAGGCAAATGCTTAAGAAACACCAGATGGGACTATTAATATGGAAATAGACCTTAGGGAGCAAGAGCTGATACTTTAGTGTTAGAGTTTCAAAATACATTTTTTAAAAATTCCAGTTATTAGGAAGACATTATTATTTCACAGTCCATTTTTGGGTCTTTATACTTAGTCCAAAAAATGAAATAAAATTTGAAAGAGCAGGAAAAAAGAGGGCCTATCAAATGGTTGATTGAAGGCAGTATTTAGTGTGGAATAGGCTAATCCCAGGGACAAAAACATTAGCACCTTTTTCCAGTAATAGAATAAATCTCTAAGTTTTGGCTGGTAACTATATCAAATGGGTAAAAATAGTAACAGGTAACACTCACTGAATGCTTCTTAAGAGCCAGATAACTATAAGTGCTTTACACATATTAATTCATTTATTCCTTGAAATAACTCTATGAGGCAGGTTTTATTCCTGTTTTACAGATTTGGAAACTGAGGCACAGAGAGCTTAAATAACTTGTCTGAGATTCCTCAACCTGTAAGAGGCAAAACTGGATGCTAACAGAGGCAATCTGATCCCAGAGCTTGAACTCTTAACCGTCACACCTCAATTTATCCAATGGGATAAATAGGAGATGGGCAAAGTGAGAACCTCCCTACGATTCTGCCAGCAAACCTGTTGTCGGCAAAGCCTTCAGGTGCTGACCTGGCTGAGTTTTTAATGATGAGTCAAGTCCATCTTCATCATATCTGCCATGCATAGCACTTGTGGTTTTGAAGATGGGCCAATTTTTTTGTTGTTGTTCGTTTCCAGAAAAAATCAAGGACCTGTTTCCAGATGGTTCTCTAAACAGCTTCACCAAGCTGGTGCTGGTGAACATAGTTTATTTTAAAGGGCAATGGGACAAGGAGTTTAAGAAAGAAAATACCAAGGAGGAGGAATTTTGGTTGAATAAGGTATGGTCCTTTATTTATTTATGTGTTGTGTTTATACATGGAATGTAAAATCTAAAGTCATATTGAGCAAATGTGGTAGATAGCAAAGGCGACTCTGAGGCTCTGATCTTTAGCATTGTTTTCTGTTGAGCTAATTATTTTGCTGAGCTAACTTGGTCATCTTATGCCTCTTTTGACAAGGCATGCTCTGTTATTTTGTTGCAGAGTACAAGCAAATCTGTGCCAATGATGACACAGTGCCATTCTTTTAGCTTCACTTTCCTGGAGGACTTACAAGCCCAAATCCTGGGGATTCCATATAAAAACAATGACTTAACCATGTTTGTGTTGCTGCCCAATGACATCGATGGTCTGGATAAGGTAAAAACCTTGTGTCTCCCCAATCTTACTTTAATTTCCTGAAGCTTTGAATCCCAAAGCTAGTTTCTGGGTAAGCCTGGAAATAGGACTTCTGATAGGGAGTTTGCGTCTGGCAGTGCCAAGCAGAAATATCTCTATACATGGATGTCTAAAAGGAGCATTAGATGGTATCAGGTTTATTGGAAACAACCAGAATTAAAATACTTGGGGATGAGCTAAAATGAACAGTTAAGGTCATATGGGAATTCTAAAGATCAGCCACCTTTCTGAGAAATGGTTGATCTCTATGCACCTTTTTCCTAGAAAAATTGCATTTGCACATACAGCAAAGTTTGCATCCTGTTCAGCAGGCTATTAGACCTCCTGAATTTCTGTCTTGGGCCATTAATTTCTTTTTAAAGATTTTTTTTTTTTTTGGAGCAGTTTTAGGTTTACAGCAAAGTCGAGAGAAAGGTACAGAGATTTCCCATGTATCCCCTGGCCCTACACATACATAACTTCCCTCATCATCAACATCACTTATCAGAATGGTAATTTTTTTTAAACCAAGGATGAACCTACATCAACACATAATCATCATCCCAAATCCATAAGACCTTTAACCTTGAACCTCTTGATTTAGTTTTTTGATTTAAACTTAGACTAAGATATCACTTAGAATGGGTCCAGTACATGGAAGCACTCAATAAATGATAGACACTCTATTATTATAATACTAGATGCTGTTCTGCTGCTGTGAAACATCTCTAGTATCATTATACATTGGAAAAATTGGGACAGCAAAATGGCAATATGTATGAAAGCTTTAACTCTATGGTCAGTTAATCTTTGACAAAACAGGAAAAAATATACAGTGGAAAAAAGACAGTCTCTTCAATAAATGGTGCTGGGAAAACTGGACAGCTATATGTACAAGAATGAAACTCGACCATTCTCTTACACCGTACACAAAGATAAACTCAAAATGGATAAAAGACCTCAACGTGAGACAGGAATCCATCAGAATCCTAGAGGAGAACATAGGCAGTAATCTCTTCGATATCAGCCACAGCAACTTCTTTCAAGATATGTCTCCAAAGGCAAAGGAAACAAAAGCCAAAATAAACTTTTGGGACTTCATCAAAATCAAAAGCTTCTGCACAGCAAAGGAAACAGTAAAGAAAACAAAGAGGCAACCCACGGAATGGAGAAGATATTTGCAAATGACAGTACAGACAAAAGATTGATATCCAGGATCTATAAAGAACTCCTCAAACTCAACACACACAAAACAGATAATCATATCAAAAAATGGGCAGAAGATATGAACAGACACTTCTCCAATGAAGACATACAAATGGCTATCAGA